GCTTAGGGTACCAAGGCCCAGGATAATTCGAAACAATCTCTGCCTTGCGAGAGGTAGTCGACACTTGTGAGTCATGTTGGCCGAGTAGTACTTTCACCCCACTTCTGCACTTTGTTTTCCTTTATTTTTATGTGTGTTTGTTTTTGTTTTTGTTTCCTTGTGAAGATATCTCCTCTTCAATACTAGCCTAATGTTCGACTTTCACTTGCCCAATGTTAGGTAACTTCTTCACCTTTCCCTGACTCAATTGAGGATAATGTCATGATTAAGTGTGGGGGTGTATTCTTATTTTTGATTGGAGGGTGAAATTTATATGAATGCATGATCATAGTGGCAGATTATGGAGGATCTTATCGTTATTATCATTGTATATGGATGGCTTATTTGTTATTGAGTTCAACCTATGATGATGATGATTGAGATATACATTAGGTTTGTGAAAATGTTCAGTTCTCATATGTTAGTGAACCAATGGATGTTTTTGATTGGCTGCTCATTGATTATAATTGCTTATGCATCAGAATTTGGAAGTTGGAATGAATGATTGAGCATCTAGGTATCCTTTTGAGATTTGTGCCGCTCATTTTGTTCTTGTGTTTTAGATCCCTCTTACCCTGATATGCAGCATTCACGTTGCCACTAGGAAGGAAGATGAAGTTATAGGATTATCCCACGACCCAAAATTGACTTGTCCAGATTGCATTATCCCCTAGTCAACCTTTTGAGTCGTGTGTCCTAGGGTCACTCTTGTGTTGAGTAGCTCCCACTATTTGAGCTTCATTGATATTCGGTAGAGTGACCCTTACTTTCTTAGAGTCTACACCATGGTCAAGTCACCCTTGTATTTAGAAGCTCCCATCATTTGAGCTTTATTGAGGTTCCACATTGTGAGTCTTGCATGGTTTTTACTAAATGTGGAAGTGAGTGTTGGAGGTAGTTCTTAAAAGTGAGAATTGTTTTTAAAATTCAAAGAATGTGGCATGTTTTGTCTAGCTCTCTAATAGCCCTTAAGGGGAAAAAAAGCAAAGAAAGAAAGAGAAAAGGAGGAAAATGAAGTGAAAAAGAAAGTAATAAAAAGGTGAAAGAAGAAAAGAGAGTTTGCCACAAAAGATTGTTTATGCTCTCAGGGTTAATAGTATAAATTGCCCCTCTACTATAGTACTTTCTCAAACTTGTCATTCTATTATGATTCACATCAAATTTGCCCATCTACAATTATCACCTAATCAAACTTGCCTTATGTGATAGTTTCTGTCCCAGTTATGTTAACAACGGTTGAACCGGGGCTGGGTGAATGAGAAAAGTCCATTTTATCCCTAAGTAAAAAATGAGAACTTATCATATATGTTTTTGTCGAAGAGAGAAGGTATCTTTGCCACAAAAAAGGAAACAACGACCTCCATCTTCTTCGTCTTCTTCGATGAGAACTCTCTCAACCCATCCATTGAACGAAGCGGTGGCAGGACGACAAAAGATATCACGGTTCTTCATCTCTGCCATCTCCTTACTCAACTTTCACCATCATTGACTTGTGAACCACAAGGCGATTAACGAAAGATGGGGTTATGGGATGTCCTGCGGGAACAGCGACTAACGGTAAGGGGCGGTCGGTGTTGGGCAATCAGCAAGTCGGGTAGCTTCTCCGGGTTTCAGATTAATTCATAGATCCGAATCCTAATTCCTAATTAATTCCCAAATTTGAAAATTGTGAATTCGAACCCCTAATTTGAAAATTCTATTTCCTTCCACTGAAGATGAGTTTAGGTTCAATGAGGCGGAGATGTTCATTGTTGTTTTCATCTTGGGATTGTATAAATTTGTTTTTTTTGCCTCATACGGATTCAAGCCCTCTATTAAAAGAAAGGGTGGTTGATTTAATTTGGAAAAGTTCATGCAGAAAGATGGACGGTGCTGGCGACGCCATGTCTCGCTCGTCGTTTCATGCCTTTCATCGACCACTGGTGCTGATTTGGGAAAATTGGAAATCAGGGTTCACGATTTAGAGTGACGATTTCCGGAAAGGAAAAGAGTAATCATGTTTGGGTTTCTTGAGAAATCGAGTGATGGAGGTGAGTCTAGACGAAGACGGTGCCGACACAAAGGATGCGAGGAAGCCTGGATTCGTGGAGCGAGGGAGGATCAATGGAGTGATCTGCCACTCTGCCTTGTGATTCTCTTTCTCTCGATGGGGAGATAGCCACGAAGAAGTTCTGACTTTTGAATGGGAATTTAGAAAGGGTGTATCTGGAATTTCTCCTCTCTTTTGTTTTGGTTGGACAGGTCCGATCGTGATTCAACTATGGTTGACAGAATTATGATCGAGTTTGTCATAGAAGGCAGGTTTGAGAATGTGGTAATAATAAGATGGCAAATTTGATGTAAATCATAATAGAGGGGCAAGTTTGAGAAAATATCATAGTAAAGGGACAATTTATACTATTAACCCATGCTCTTAAAAAGTGTTTCTTGGTAGTCAAGCTATTGAGACACTTACATGTTTGTTTACCTACTTCACTCTTGTGCTTGAAAGGTTTGATAGAAGATTAAGTGTGTTGTGAATGTTGTTCGAGATTAGTTGTATTTTGGAATGGCGGAAAGTGTGGCTATTGGTTGTTGTGAGTGGTCTTGTGTTGTTATGCTTGGTTCCTGATTGAATTGTGGAACCTCATGTTATATGTGCCACCACCAAAAAAGCCTTTTCCCCATGTCCTAGACCCTAGCTATTCATCTGAACTCGTGTCTAAGACCTCTGGACAAGCTAGTGGTGACACTCATATTGTGAATTCTAGCATTTAGTGGCTACCGTCATGGTGAAGAGACGTTAGGCTGAGCGTTTGAGTATGCACATTTTTGTTTCATTAAAATGGTCTCAGACCCACTGGTCGAGAGTGACTGATTCATTTATCTTATCTTGTTCATATCATATATCCTGGTGAGGACCTAGTTTGCTCGATCATTTGTTCTTATGACCCGATCTTTACGCATGGTTAACTGTGGTTGGTGAGTCGTTTAGACAAGTTGTGTATTGGTCTGTTAACAAGGTGAGAACTCTTCATTTCCACGGTGTTAATGCATTCGAAGATCATTTGTGGTGGTTGCCAGGATTACTATTGATGGTGTCCATATGTCGATGCCAAATTAACATAGAGATTCATCCACTTTGTGCCCTTTGAAATTTTCCCGAGTTATTGTGTTATAGGTTGAAAGATTACCTTGAGTGTGATTGGTTTGCATGGAAAAAGCAAATTTTCAAGTGTGGTGGAGTTTTATTATGGTGTAATTGCCCATATTTGTACCCCTTTATCTTGTGATGTTTGTGGCGTTCGCATCTTTCGAGGAGAAATTTTACGCTAGGTTTGTGTGTGTTTCAACATGTTTCAAATCTCATCAGGTGTAATTAGCTCTAGGATCAAAAGTAGAATGAAAGATGGAAAATTTTGAGCAAAGATGGATAAAAGGCTATGATTGCTTTGGGAGATTATAACCGCCAGCTAATCGTAATGATGGAGCTCAGCCCATGACTTTAGACAGTGTCCAACAGGTTTCATATGTCTCGCTAGCAAGTCAGTTATCACGGTCCCCAGACCGATATATTTTCTAGCAGTCCGTGATGTTAGTTAGTAAAATGGTGCGTCTTGCACCGAGATCACGTTCATCAGTTCGACATCATGTGACTTCTGATCATGAAATGAGCCCAAATGGAGTATATAAAGGAGAGAGAGCTGAAACCTAAGAGATAGTTCTAGAGAGAGACTTGGGTCTTTTTATTCAAGATAGAGGAGAAAGAAGAAGGATTGGACTTACCCAAGGCTAAAGGGTTGAAGATTTCTTCTCCAAAGGGGGAATCAAGCAAATAAAAGGAAGGAGAATAATCTTGCTATGGGTTTTTCTTCCATCTTGTTTGTATTTCCCTTCCTAACTATGGAGTAGTCTCCCAATTTCACTTGGATATTGGAAACCCTAGTCTAGCATGTATTAGATTGTAAGAATTGAATTCTATGTGTTTTGGGTTAGTGATTAATATAATGTTTTAGAAATTATTCATGAATTTTGGGTGTTGTTTATCACTTCTCAATGCGGGGTCAATTTGACCTAGAAGGAGGAAATCTCCTTATAGCCCACATCTTGGCAATTCGGGTAACCCCTTCTAGGAAAATTCAGCACAAACCTCAAACATCGGATTAGTGTCATGATTTTCTCTTGATTGGTTACTTTTCCACGTTGCGGATGAACTTCCGAGGGATTGGTTTTTGCAATCCTTAGTCAATCAGTTAAGAGAGTTAGGTTTCCTAACTTATCGTGACAATCCTTACTTGATCGATTAACAGAGTTGGAGTTTCCCAACTAATTGCATCCTCACGATATATAATCATATTTTTCACAATAGAGTTCCATTCGTTGTATCTAAACACGAGACTAGGGGAACATTATCCTGGTGAAGCTTTGTCAAAATTGAACTCACCACAATTTACTTTACTTGCTTGTTTAGTTGCAATTTCCTTAGCTTTAACCTCAAATGGTTTGATAGATATTATATAAATGATTGAAGTAGTGGTACATAGACCACCTCGGGTTGATATTAAATCAATTGCCCTATCCTACACCCTACTATAGGTTGCACTTGGCTTATAGTTGGGAATTGTGTAGATAGGTTCGAGTTAAGGTGACCTTCACTTCCATTTTTTTCATTAATAACCTTCAAAATATTCCTTGACAGTAATCAATAACTACTCTCATCTTTTAGCCTCTCAACCTTGACCAGGAACCTACACCTCGTCTTATATGAAGAAGCAAATATTTTTTTTCCTTGCTTGGATTAAGATTTTGAGCCTTTAGCTTTTTTTCTTATCTCGAATGCAATTCAAACAATATCGCCGACTACCTTCATTTAGGGTTTTCTTCTTCGACTCCCCCACAAAATAAAACTCTAAAATCTTGGAAATCTTACTTGATGCTTCATAGCCTACTATTTCTTTTTTACGGGGAACCTAAGAGATATATTAGTCAGAGGTTGCTGCTACATCGTCCAGTTTTATTTGATCAACAATAAACACTGGAGGTCTATCTAACCAGACTTGACGTTCCTCCCAATTCGTCATAGAGTGTGCCATCTTATGCGCTACCTCGTTAGCTTCCCGCTTTATATGCTTGTAATTGCCACCTCCAAGCTCCCTCATCATGCGTCTGATGCTTCTGCAAAAACTCCAATTTCCGTTTCTATATGAAGCCTGCTCTGCAGCTTCTGAATCAAGGAGAGACAATCACTTTCCAGTACAGGGTTGGAGACTTGCAAGAGGGATGCCATTTGCAGGCCCCTATTTTGCTGCAAGTTTCTCTGCAAATTCCGACTCTCATTGCCCTTTAACGCACTTCGCCGCAGCCAGTAGGAACCGGCCATCGCTGTCTCTTATGACCACGCCCAGCCCTGCACCGCCCTCGGTGAAAATTGCTACATCCGTGGTGACAGAATGATGGACAAATGCAGGCCTTCTCCAAGACGTACATGCTGGTTGCAAAATTCCTAAAGTAGTTTGTAAAAAAAAAATTCATTCAACCTAACATGACATTCATCATATAAATTCTTTGTGCAATTCAAATTAACATAAAAATCACCCTAACTTCAAATTGAATTACGAATTGAATTTAACATAATACTCAAACGTATAATATTAGTTAAATTAATAATTAAATCTAACAACCACTCTAACATCCTATAAGGAATTTAATATTCATCATACACAACATATACCATAAAATTCATCCATAACAAAAATTCATTATAAATAAAATTCATCCGCACAAAAAATCATTCTAAACTTTAATTTTTTATGCATAAATTCATATGTAAACCAATACAAAAATAGAAAGGAAAATGACAAAAAAAAACACGTCATAAAACGACGGTCAAAAGGGTTTTTGGTTTGATCATGAACCAAACTGTAACATCCTGAACCTTTTCCCGACAAGATATTGTCCGCTTTGGGCCTCTACACCATCACGGATTTGTCTTGAGGTGCAATTCAAGGTGACTTCCCATAAGGTCACACATCCTTGTTGTACTCCACATTTAACTTCGGAGTTCTCACAAGAACTCCTCCATTTCACCCCAAAATGCGTCTTGTCAGTTAAGGTCGGTTTCTTACTTATGAACCATGGATCTCTTCCGTGCTTTGTCAATGTGGGATTCGCTTAAGGTGTTACACAAATGGTCACTGAATTCGGTCCTCGCATTGTGGAACACAAAATAGAAATATTTTTCTCTTCTTTGTCTGTTTATAGACGTCATTTTGAAAGAAAAAAAACTAAAAAATATAAAGTAAATTTAACAATATTTAATGACATAACAATTAAATTTAACTATATTTAGAAATATTTAAAGTAAATATCAATCCTCTATAATATAAACCCCAAATGATTAGCATACTATCTAAGTACAAAAGTCACCAACTTTAAAACGCGTTTCAACAAATAGACAAAAAACTGAATAATATAACCACGAATGATAGAAGAAAATTCATCCATCGAAAATGACAAAAAAAATTAAAATTAGTTAATGCAGAAAAAGCAAACAAACGTTGAAGAAATCAACAAATTCGAGTAAATAAATAAATATCAAAATTAGTCTTTTTAAAAAACTAATACCAAATTAGACTAGTGTGCGTTCATGGTGTAGTTTTATTTTTTGCAGCACAATTACAAAAATACAGAATACTTTGCATTTTGATTAATAATGGTTAGCCACCCTTTGTTGTTTTCCGTTCATTCCCATCGGCCGAACCAACACGGCTCCTCCTCCACATCACAGCGGCCCATGATCTGACCACATCCCTCTTTCCTTATCATCCCCAATAACAAACAAACAAAACCGATCAACGAACCGAAATAAACCTTTCTCTCTCTTCCTCTGTTTCTTGCCAAAAATTCTTTCTCATCGCCAAATTCTCAGTTCTTTTCTCTCTCTTTCTTTCCGTGTTTTGTTTTTTTCAAAAATAAAAACAAAAAACACAAAAGATAATAAGAGAAAACGATAGGGAAACCGAAAGGCAATAGAGGATTCGGAAAACCCCATTTCTCAAGCAAACTCAAACCTCCTCTCCCCCCCCCCCCCCCTCCTCTCACACATCCAACAAAACCCATAGCCCTCCACCGCCCACCGCCATCTCCCATTTTCCTCTCTTCATTCCTCAATTTCGCCACCGCCTCTCTATTTACTGTTTTCAGGGGTTCCTCTTCTTCTTCTCAATTTCGTCGCCTATCGGTTTTCATTTTCTTTCAAAGCTTTCAATTTATCGACCCTATAGGTTTCTTCTTTTCTTCTTCCCCTTCAGTGAGTTCCGATTTCCCTCCCTTTTCTTTTCTCTTGTAATCAAGATCCTTTTTTTATTGGGAGAACGAAAAGGGGGAACCCACCTTAAAATTTAGAAACTTTCTCGTGCTTCATAAACGGGATCCATGGCGGAATTCGACAACAACATGGACTTGGCGGTGAAAACTAGACCAAGCCCTAAATCCAGCCCCACCTCCTCTGCCACCTCCTTCTTCCACCGCTCTTTTACAATTCAGTCGGCTAGAGCTACACCTAAACCTTACGTTCCATCCCCTTCAAGATTCACCAGCTCCTTCGAATCCATGAAGGGCAAGGTTAGAGTGCTCCGGAACATGTTTGAAGCATCCAGGGCTCCCAAAGTCAAACCGGATGAATCACAACAACAATCCCATATCTCAACGCAGTTACCTCCTCCCGGCAAGTTAGTCTCGCATAAATCAATGGGGGCTGACCATAATCGGTACTCTTACATCTTCAGCGGCAAATGGGTACCCTTGTTGCCAGGTACAGAGGATAGAATTGTGGTTTATTTTACCAGCTTGCGTGGGGTGAGGAGAACCTTTGATGATTGTTATACTGTTAGGAGGACCTTTAGACAGTTTAGGGTTTGGGTTGATGAGAGGGATATCTCCATGGATACGGCTTACAAAAAGGAATTGCATAGTGTGTTTGGGGAGAAGGGTGTGACATTGCCGCAGGTGTTCATTAGAGGGAGGCATGTAGGTGGTGCCGATGATATTCATCAATTGCTGGAGACCGGGGAATTGACCAAACTTCTTGATGGGTTCCCACGAAGGGAGCCTGGTTATGTTTGTCAAGGTTGTGGAGATGCGAGGTTTGTAACCTGTGGATTTTGTAATGGTAGTAGAAAGATCTTTGACGATGAGGAGGAGTTCTCCAAGCGGTGTTTAGCATGCAACGAGAATGGGTTGATGAGGTGCCCCGAGTGCTGCTCATAATCAATCAGAGGATCAATATTGATGGTGGATGGCATGCAACGAGAATGGGTTGATGGTGGATGGCATTCTAGTGATGTGACACAAACAAAGGATGGTGTGTTATGCATTCATCGGATCTAAATTGCTCTTTGGATAAGCAGTCATTTCATCTTTCTCATGTTGTTAGATTGTCTGCTCAGCATTGGTTGTGGGGCCGATTTCATTGTTTGCTGTTTGAGCACTTGGCAATGGAAAATGAACAGTTTTATTGGTTATCAAGGTAACTGTGTGTGTTAGCGGCAGTGTTTTGGTCAGGTGCCATGGAAGGAGAGTGTGTTCTCCTACGTCAAGGGAATGTGAATATTTTAGCGGTAATGTAAACAAATCTATCTCTCTGATATGCATCAACATACTGTCGATGGATTGTAATATAGATGATGTCTTTCATTCATACCCATGCCCTGATTACCTTTTCTTGGAATGCTTATTTTCTTCAGTTTTAAAACTTTTTTTTACACTACACTCGGCAAGTTTTTATATGTTCATTATTCAGTTTTGAAGCGTGATGGTAGCACAATGCAGGTAGAGATTTCCTTTGAGCTTGTTCTAAGAATGTTTGCATAACAACAACTGATAGTATTGTGTATAAACATAAGCAGAAAATGGTGAAGTGGAAGTGTAAGGTATCATTGATGAGAGCATATGTGGTGTTCTTCAGAGTTTATATCTCATCACATGACTTTGCTTTGCCTACCTACGTCTTGAGCTCGATATCCATACTTAAAAAACTTGGCCCTAGATATTGGGAGTGGCCATTGGTGGGTTGGGTGAAGTAATTGTAATTGGCACAATATATAATGAATATATCCAATATTAATTAATAAAATAGCTTAATTATAATAGGTATATTTGCAATTTCAAAGTCTATGGTAAGGATATGGCGCAATTAGAAAATATGATAATATTTAAATAGGGGTAAAATACAAGTTTGATCATTGGGATTACAAAATAATTACTAAAAAATTCATGTTTCTTCACTAATGATATCTAATTTAATTTATGATCACTAAGATTAGTTAAATATTTTAAACTTGGTTACTGTTAGTTACCTTCTGTCAATCTTTGTTGACAGAGTCAGTTTTTTGTTGTTGTGGCTGACTGAAATGCCTAATCACCTAATTTAACTTGGAAAATTAAAACTCAACCTGCCATATCAACTTATAAAAAATTCAAACTTCCTAACCAAACCAAATAATGACCCACCCCAGCCCCTCTCTTTCCCCTAAGAAGCCAACTCATATCGTAGGTGAATTTAAACTCAGTAGTCATCGTCATTCTCCTGCTCACCCGCCAGCCACCTAGCACATTACCTACTTCGCTATTTCTCAATTTCATTTGTATGGCAACAACAAGGTATTTTGTCACACGAGGAGGTATCCAACCTCTGTCAAGGGAAGTCGGCACTCAGATCCCTCCCTCTCTCCTCTGCCAGTGCTGAAGCCCTCTCCGCCCTCCAATCCCCAGACCACAACGACACCTTCCTCATCCTCTGGACGTTTCACGACCACCACGAGCATGATATTCTTGGTCTCGATCCATCCTCCTAGTTTTACAAATATGTTAGCAAGATTTCCATGGTGGATTTGATATGCTTCCTACGTAAAAATGACAACTTGTAGGCTTGCGAACCCTGGAGGTTCCTCTGACGATGTAAAGATTGATTTTTGTCAATTCGATTGTGTGCCAATACAAAGTTAGCATCTCATGAGATATAGACTTCGAATATGACTTTGTGTTAGATGTGACAGGAGATGGTTGTTCTTCACAATCAATCATCAATCAATTGAACTGCACGATCCCTCAAGAGAGAAATCTGTAGGGTCCCCATTGTAGCCTACTAGATATGATAAATGTCAGACACAAGGGAGGATTAAATCTTCCTAGAATCAAACAACCCATATGTCCAATTATCAACCGAAGCAATTCTAAGGAAACTCTAGAGAAAGCTTGACTATTCGATGCCTTTCCTTTGGTTTACCAATCCAATAGTTTAGGTTATTTTTTCCTTTTCTTTTACTTTAGAATTTTGAACCAAATAAGGGGAACTTAACCCTCGAGGCACCTCAACCTTTACATTAATTTTACAAACTCAAAGAGTAAGTCCCTTACCGACCGAGTAAGGATATATATGAGGCTTAGAGAAAATAAAATTATGTAACCAACCAGGTAAATTCAATCCCTATTCTACAATGAATCAAATTTTATGTCCTTGCCGAGGACTTGTGCATTCTTTGAAAATGGAGTAAGGTATGTGTTATCTTTTTATATTTTCGTTTGTGTGTGTGTTTTTCAGTCCCTCTATTTTTAGTCTTGCAATTCTGTGTTTTCATTTTTATTCATATTGTATTTATTTTCGTACAATTTTCTTCATATTTTTCTTTCTAATAGTCTATAGTCAGTGTTCAGGACCAAACACAGAACTAAAATTGCCAGCTCGGGTGCCAATTTAGTGTAAAATTTGTCGGCCTAGACGCTATTTTGGGTTGAGACTCGTCACTTGGTAGTTTTTGTTCCCAGTTTCTGTATCTGAGCCTAGCAAAGACTAGCGACAAAACAAACAAACTCAAGTTCAAAAGGTTTGCCCAAGATCGTGTTTATCGTATTGATACCTCTAATTACTCAGAAGCTAGGTCAGAACCACCTAGAAAGAGAGCTACTAGGGAAAAGCAACTCACAACTATTTTCCTAAACCTTCTCTTCGATGAGTGTTCAGAAGCATAAAGTAACAATCTCGCTTCTGAACAAAAGATGCATGAAAGTAGGACGGGATGAACTCTCTACCTGCAAGGGTAATGAGATCCTCATATGTGGCTAAGACTAATGGCATTAAAAAAGGTAGTCTCTAACTTCCTATTCATGACACACAACCTACAAAGTTGCATTTACATAAGGACTCCATCTCTGAATCTTATCAAAAGTAAGTAATCCATCCAACAAAACAATCCATATAACAAAAGCAAGCAATCTTTTATGGATTTTGTTTTTTGAAAGCTCAGTCTACTTGGAGGTTCAATCATTTGGGAGTGAAAGTTACCCTACTTATCTATTTGGGGGAGGATGTCTTTCATGGAATACATCTAGATGGGCAACAATCTTTATGTAAAAAAAATATGATAGGTGGGCTTGACAAGTTTGAAACAAATATAGCGGATAAGAGTGTATAGTATATACCTTTTTGGCCATTTTTCCAATTCAAAGCAATAACTAAGGTTTTAATTGTCCATAAGCAAAAGTGCAAAATAGAGAATCAATGCCATCATCCCAAACTTATCAATGAACATTAGAAATAATAATCAACATAGCACCAATAAAGAGGAATCAAGGAAATACCCATCAAAATAAATTTTCAGATGGAAGTCACTGGTACCAAAACTAGCACGTCTAGGGTTGATCTTGTTTTGAGATCTGGATTCGGCGGAAATAAAGTTACATAAAGAAGTTACTTGCAGATGGAGCTGCCTATCGACTTTGGATCATAGAAGCCCACTACAAACTATGACGACCTGCATTTGGAGTTTCAGTAGAACCACCATAGTGCATTGAGTGCTCTCGCCCGGGCCATCAATTTTATGGGACCTTTACCCTCATCTTTTGGTAACCAATACATCCTTGTGGCCATAGATTACGTCTCAAGGTGGGTTGAGGCTCAATCCCTCCCCACCAATGATGCAAGACGAGTCTGTGGATTTCTGAAAAAGTTGTTTTCACGATTTGGGACCCCGAGGTCCATCGTTAGCGACCGAGGAACCCATTTTCAAGGGCAATTCGATAAGCTCCTCGCTCGCTACGGTGTCACCCACCGGGTGTCCATGGCCTGTCACCCCCAAACTAGTGGACAAGTCGAGCTATCAAATAGGGAGCTAAAACGGATCCTGGAAAAGATCGTGGATCAATCCCGCAAGGATTGGTCCGCAAAGCTCGATGATGCTCTATGGACATACCGCACGGCCTACAAAACACCAATAGGCGTGTCGCCTTGCCATTTGGTGTATGGCAAAGTGTGCCACTTACCCATAGAGCTAGATCACAAGGCTTTCTGGGCCACAAAGCTTTTGAATATGGACCCTAGTTTGTGTGGAAATGAAAGGAAGTTGCAGATGCTAGAACTTGGAGGAGTGGCGTCCACAAGGCTATGAGAACACCAATATTTACAAGGAGAGGACGAAGCGTTTGCATGATGCTCGCCCGAAAGGAGGAAAGGATTTCCATCCGGGAGATCAGGTTCTCTTGTACAACTCCCGGTTGAAGTTATTCCCTGGAAAGTTAAGGTCGAAATGGTCGGGCCCGTTTGTGGTAACGCAAGTATTCACATACGGGGTGGTTGAGATCTCCCACCTAGAGGAAGGAACTTTCAAAGTGAATGGACACCGGCTGAAGCGTTACCTTGGAAGAGAGGTAATACCACACAAGGAGGTGGTGTTCCTGCAAGATGCATGAACCATAGTCTCCGTCTAGCTTAAGACGTTAAACAAGCGCTTGTTGGGAGGCAACCCAATGAAGGCTAGCATGTTTGACCTACTACTACTATGTATTGTGCTTGTAATAACCTCTCCTCGAGCAAGTCGTATTGTGTTTGTGTCTCCTTGAAGCTCAAATTAACTTACCCCGGTTCGATTCCAACCTTCACTGCCAAGCCCAAGCGGCAACATCATTCTACCCATTTCTTTCGCCATTGAGGGAAATGCCGAGTTTAAGTGTAGGGGGATAGTCTACTAGTATGCTTGTGTGAGTGTGATGTTGCTTGGCGCTTTTGTATGCCCAAATTTCACAAATTTGAGGGCTCCAAGCAATGTTTGCATGATCAAAGTGGCCGGATGGTGGGAAATTCTCGTGTTTTTGGGCATTGATCTTGAATTGTTGCATGTGATCGAGTATATCCTATTATGATGACTGAGAAGATCATTAAGATAGGGTAAAAGTTTAGTTCTCAGGTGTGCATGAATGAATGGATGTCTTGACTT